CCATATTCTCCACTCTGGAAGTTAGTCAGCACATTGAAACATAAACTTGTCTAGGCACAGTGGGTCCTGCCTGGAGGAATCCACAGAACTGTCAAAATTAGTCAAATACTTAATTGAGAAAGGGAAGTAGGAGTTGAGTTGGTCAGCTCAGCTCTGGTCAGTTCACTGTTTCAAGTCAATCTAATGTAGCATCTATGCAAATGCCTGGTGCAGTTTCTGGGTGTCTCAGGGAGAGCAAGGTCCTTCTCTATATAATGATAACAAATTTAGTCCATCATAATATGTCCCTAAAAAGCAATAAACCAAAAATAGAGGAAAAATAATGACACATGCTCTTGCTTCTTATCCAGCTATTAGCATCTATGATTCAGATATAAAGTACAAGCTCTTATTACTGAATGCTAATGGGTAATTAAAAAAAAACCCAGAAACCCAGGGATTTAAGCAAGCATCCAAAAAAGCTACTTCTGATAACAGTGGAAAAACTATGGTACGCCTTAAGAGTAATGTTGATGTACTGGAATACATATGTCTGATGTACCTTTTCCACTCCAAGGCATGCCTGTCTGACATTCAGATTATGAGGCAGTTCTGTATGTACCCTGATAAATGCAAAGGAGTGTGAAGGTCAGGAACAGAAACTGTTTCCCTGGCTAAAAGGACTTCAGATTATATTTAACTTGGGTGTAACATTTGTAGTGTTTGCTAATGTCTCGGTAGAAAAGGTGGGCTACCAAGCAAATAGTCTCCAAAGGAGGAATGTTTAAAATCTAAGCCACAAATGTCAAATTTAAAACCAAAACAAAACCCCAACCAAAGAAACCCCAAACAAAAGATACACGGAAGATTGTAGACAATGGATTTTGTACTTTTATCCTCTTTTTATGCTAAAGCACAATGACATTTTCTCAGCTCAAAGTGCAGAGATTCTATTAAATATGATTCCTTAGGCATAATGTTTCCTCCTTGCACTCATTACACTCAGGCAGGTGGACAAGCCTTAACTTGTCCTCAGGGCTGATCTGTGCAGCCCCAGCATGGGGCTTTCACAGGAACTACACAGCCTGTGAACCTCTGTGGTAGTGAGTACCCAGATGGGGGTCATCACAGCCTGGCTACTTTTCAGTCAATAACTGAGGCCTGATCCAAACTGCATGAAAGAAGGAAAACCACCTGTTGGTTTTAGCAAGCATTAGGTGAGGGTACGGAACTCTGGTCATTGCTGCTTTCTCTTCAGATCCCCCCAATAATGATAACCAGTGAGCTAGAAAAAAGAGATTCTGTCCATATCTGCGAATGTCGTAAGAGGCTTGAAACTGGGGGTAAGCCCTACGTAAGTCTCTGAATCTGTATTCTGTTAGTTTAGAAATATTTGGGACTGCTCAGCGTACTCTCACTGAAGCCTGTGATAGTTTACTGTCAACTGAAATATGAACAGAAAGCTCCATGCTCATGCTTCTTCCTCTTCATTGACAAATCTGACACGCAGGCTTTCTGCATCAAGCAGTGCACTATTTTAGATAGAGAAGAATTATAATAGATGTTAATGATCTCACCCACACATATGCACAGGCTTTAGGCGTAGTTATTGGATTGCCCACTTAGGGAGTTAAGAGCAAGAGCTCTTTGAAAGTGATTTTTTTGGCATATCACAGTGGGGTGACTGAAATGGTTGAGGCTTTGTGAATGCACGACAGAGGTTACCAGAGAGGAGACTGACAGCCACACAAAATTAAACAGCTTCTCATATCCTTGTTGCACCCAAGTCTGTCAAAGGCTTAAGTGGATAAAATTGCATAGGTAAATTCTATGAGCTTAAATAACAATTCTGAGATGCTTTTATGTAAAATGTCCAGAAATTGAGTGCCTTTACCTGGTTATTTATTTTTCCAGAGGAACAGTAGCTGGAAAGAGCTGTGTTCATTTATCCAGATTAAAGCATTGCTTTACATTTCAAAAGGAATGGCTGAAAGCTTCTCACACCCACATAGTAACCGGTAATGGTACCTTGAGCATGTCACCTGTAACGGAGGTCTTTTTCTTACCAAGAACTTAGGTATTTTCTACTCCTTTTTCTCTGGTATTCAGTGCTGCACATTTGGCCACCAGATCGGCCCACTGTCTGCAGGAAACTTCCTACACTGAAGTATTTTTCTGAGTAAAATCTGCTTTCGTGTCAAGAAATGTGGTTACTTGGGGTTTCAGTATTTTGCCTATTTTTTTAGAGGGATGCACTGTATCTTCTCCGGTAGCATTGCAAAGTATTGCTTTGGATTTTATCACAAGATACTTCACTGAAGATATTACTCTAACATGCAATCAGCAGGGTCACTGTCATTATTTCTTCAGTAACATGGGAAAGACATGGGAAGCTTTTCACCTGTTGGATAGAAAGTAACTTGGTCCAGCCATTTATGTGGGTACTGCAATAGTGGAGCAGAACAAACACAAACATGGGTATAACTTGCATGCTGAGTCCCAACACAAACCAGGTTGTGAACTGCAGTTACGTTACACTCCTGTCAATCCCTCTCTGAATAGCCCAGGCTGTTGGCAGCCCTTGTCTTCCGTGGCAGCTGGAGTCAGCCTCAGTGGCTATATGTCAGTTCACACTGGCTGATCAGCTCTCCTGGAAACAAAAACAAGCAAAAAAACCCTGGGCTTTTCCAGTGTTGGGAGTTTTACTGCTGCTTCAGCCCTGCTCTGGCTGCCTTTAATGTCAGAGGAAGTATTTGCTTCCAGTTATTTTTATGCAGCTTGCTTTAAAAAAAAAAAAAAAGCATTCATTCATCCTAATATTTTACAAACCTCTTCACTATGCAAACAGTGAAACCGGTGCACAGAGCAGATTGCTCTGCTCACTCCCATCATCTCCTCCTGAGCGCTTGGTTGCATTGTGCTCAATTATGAATGGTCTCCAAAAAAGCCCATTTTACTGTACTATGAAGTGACTCATATCACACAGAAGCTCTGACAGCTCGCACTGAGTATGGGAGTCACATGGCGCCGTATTAGCTGGTGACTCATTTCATGTTGTACTCGGTGCTGAGATCTGACTCACATCGAACTGTGTGAGGAGCTGACTGACACTGTACTGGGCTGAAAGATGGTTAGAATCGGGATGACTCACCCTGGGGTGCATTAAGTAGTGATTCACGTACCCTTTCTTATTGATTCTGATTGTTGCGATTCACTTCGGATTGTACTACACTGGCATCTGGCTTCTTGGGCAGGGGATACTCTGCAGTAGCAACCGTCTGCCTTGCAAGCTCAGCTGTAGTTGCCAAATGGCACAGCATCAGCCAGGAGGAGTATTACCAGACCCAACTGAAAGCTGGATTTCACTTGGCACACTGTTGTTTGGGTCATGACACTTCCTGGGCTGCTTTGCTTCACCTGGCTATGACAGATTTTAAAAGATACCTACAAAGTTCAAAGTCATGAACCTGTAGCCAAGAATGCTCGTTTCTGAACACTAGGAGATCTCTGCAGTGTTTCCAAGACCTGCTGCCTCCTTGGGATAACTTTTCCTAGTGATGAAAAAAAAGATGGGATGAATTTTGATAACTGGCTGAATCTTTGTAGTTGTCTGCACTTCAGGTTCATCACCTTGAGACCTGGACTCCAAGAAGCACAGAAGCCTTGTACTCTGACAACTCCTTCGTAGTACTTTAAGCTGAACCCTACTACTCCCTCTGTGAAATGCGAACTGTTCCTTTCAAGAGGTGTGTAACAGCTGAGGGGATGCTTCCACAATTAACTGTTTGTGATCCAGAGCACTACTACTAAAAGAAGTAATGATGGGGAGGGAAGTAGATAAGAAATTAAAGGCGAAATAAAGTAGCTGTTCTCTCATCTTAGAGCATTTTACAAATCACAGTGCTAGTTTTACATTCAGTTGAGTTGAACATGCTCTTAGTTTAGAAGGACGCTCCTGATTTTAACCTGAGCACAAGTATGACTCCTACCTGATAGTAATTTTGGTGCTCTGTGTATCTGAACTCATGGTTACTGGTTTTGGTCCCGTAGTCCAGCAATGCCGTCACCAGCACCACACTATGCACCTCCGCAGAGCGTTGGGCCTGATGCTGATGTTCATTTGTGCAATGGGCACAAAGGTACAAGGAGACTCCTCACCCTTATGTCGTACTGGCAGCAGTTAATGAAAAGTTTGATCTTACATTTTTCAGTAGCAAACATAAAATAATGGAATGGGCACACCAAGTAAATTACATCAGTATTAAACTACTGTAACTCGTACTGGCATGTACAAGGATAATCTTATTTCACTTTCTGCAGCTGTGTCCAATTCCCATTACCTGCCGATGACGAAGCTCGGAAAGAGCTCTTTTTCTCACCCGAGGACACATGATGTGGCAGGCTTATGCTGGAAGAGTCTATATGGGAACTCTCCTTATTGCTACTCCCTAACTTTGCGGGGGAAGGCTCCAACAAGGGCCGCACCGCGGGACTCCCCTCACGGAAGTGGGTGAGGGGTGATGGATGTTGCCTTGATTTCATCCACACTCCTGAGAAGAGGAAGAAGGGCCTCTGAGTGCACGGCGGGAGAGAGCGATCGACCCGAGCGCTGGGTAGAGAGAGGCGGCGCGGAGCGGGGCTCGATCCCCCGCCCCGGGGAGCGGCGGCGGGGCCGAGTCCGGGGGGAGCGTCTTGCTCGCTCCCGGGGCCGAGGTGGCCGGGTGACACACGCTGGAGACTCGGAGAGAGCGGCACCGGGAGCCCCTGGGCAAGGACAGGGCGGTGCGAGCTCCAGCGCTGCCGACGCTCCGGGAGACCAGAGGAAGCGCCTTTGGCGCCCGGTCCCTCCGCTTGCTCCCGGGTAGGGCGCCGTCGGCAGCGCCTCCCGTCCCGTCCCGCTGCACCCGGGGCGGCACCAGCTGCAGCACGGGGGTCGCGGCTGCCGGCAAAGAGCCCGCACTTGCCCGGGGCGCGGTGCCGCGGTGCCCGGCGGGTGCCGGGCGAGACCGAGCGGTACTTACGGTGTCGGCGGCGGGGCCCCGCCGGCATTCCTCGCCCGCTTCCACTCCGGTAGCGGCGGGCTGGTCGCCCGGGGACGGCTGCTCGCCAGCCCCGCGCATGCGCCCGGCCCTCGCGGGTTCGCCTCACGACGCTGGCCGAGGGTGCGGATGGGCTTCGCTGGCCGTGGCCGGAGCGGGGGGCAGCAAGGGCGGCAGCCCGCTCTCCCTCCCCTCCGGGCCAGGCGCGACGGGGCGATCTGCGGCCGGGCCGTCCCCGGGGAGGCGAGCACAGGGCAGTGCTGCGCTTCAGGGGCCGTTTGCAACGGGAGTAGCGGCCGCAGCGGCGGCACGGCGCCGGCGGCGTGGGGAGGGCGCGGGGGGAGCCATGGGGCCGGCGCCGGCGGGGGGGAATGCCGGAGAAACCAGCGTGAGAGCGTGTGAGTGTGTGTGCGCGCAGGGGAGGTGGTGGGAAGGGCTTGCAGAGGCGGCGATGCCGCCGCGGGGCTCGGTGCTCGTGTTTGAATGTACATAGATGCCTTAAAGAATAGGAGTCGTGCTTATAAACCCGAGATTGGAGCACGCTTGCATTTTAAGTAACTGCAGGATGCATCCTCCCTCTCCCCCAGCCGTCTCTTGCCTTCCTTGGGCGCACAGCTCGTCGCCAAAGGGCTCTCTCGGTCTAGCTCTCCCGGTTTAGCGGGGCAGATGCACCCCGGCCACGGGAGCCCCTGGAAGAAGTGTGCCCCGGGCAGGGGCTGTCGGGCCCGGCTCTAGCCCTGCTCCTCCGGGCGATCGTCTCTGCAGCTCCCTTACCGACACTGCCACGTTTTGGGGACTATTCACCGATAACGCCCCGCCACCGCGGCCTCTCGGGCAGACCCAAACCCAGTCTACTGGAAGGGCGCAGCGCGCCCGTCGGCGGGGTAAGGGTTAACGGGACGGCCGCTGCTGGCTTGGGTCACCGCTGTCCCCAGGCAGAGCGACACGGTCTTCCCGTGAAACCGAGACTGTCCAGCTGCACGAACGCTTTGCGCCTTCCCGGGACGCCTGTCGGGCAGCCCTGCTGTCGGGGATGCTCCCTTCCCCCTTGTGCACCGGCTGCGGAGCAGGGCGGCCTCAGGAGCCGCCTTGCTGGAGTCGCTGGCTTCGGGGAGCGTTCTGGGGAGCATGTAGAAATAGGAAGCAGCGGGCTTTGCCCGTGGAGTGTTGGAGACTCCCACGCCGGTGTCGGCTGGGGGCACGTGGGCGGGAGCGGCTTTCCCGGTGTGGGGAATAGGAAGAGGAGGAGGAGGAGGAGGAGGAAGGGGCGGACGCGGCCCCACGAGCGGTACTCACGGCGCCGGGCGGCTCGGGGACAGCGCGGGGCTGCGGCGGCGCGGCTCCGTGGCACGCTGGGCATCTCCGGCGCTCTGGGGAGAGGCGCCTGGGCGGCGGCGGCGCCGGGGTCGGCGGCTGCTCAGCCCAGCGGCCCCGCAGCAGGGCGGCGAGCGGGCAGCGGGCGGCTGCCTCGGTGCCTGCCAGCAGAGCCGCCAAGCCCGTGGGGCCGAAGCGGGGCCCCGTGGCGTCTCGACGGGGCGCCGAGATGAAGCGCGTGCAGGGCCGGCGGGAGGCGAGCTGCGGCCGCAGAAAGGGGCTGGAGAGCAGAGCTGACAGCGGGGCGAGGGGCCCGGCAGGCCTTGGAGTCTGCGGCGTGCGGGGAGGTGTGGGAGCAGGGTGACGGGGCGGGGGGAAAGAGAGAGAGAAACACAAAATAAGCGTTACCGGGGGAGGCGGGAGCCATGCACAGCCCAGCCCCGAGCGGAGCCCCTCCGTCGCGGTGCTATTCCGACCCCCGCCCTGATCGGCGCCTCTGTGCTCGGGGCTGCCCCTCGCTCCGCCGCAGTCACGCTCTCCGGTCTTAACTTTCCTAAGCCGGCCCTTCAGGAGAGGACTAGAGGAGACTTCTCGTACGGAGACGGTGCCCCGTGGGGCTCAGGGCTGGCCATGGTGTCGGAGTAGCACGGGGAAGAGGTTGGCTACTTACAACCTGCACCCCTCAAGTTAAAACAGCCCCAAAAAGCAGCCCCCAACCCCGCACCGGGCCGCCGCCGCCCGGCTCTGTCCATGGTGCTGAACCCTCCCAGCTGCTCAGCGAGCACGCTCTGCTCTGCCAGTGACAGGGCAGCATCATCTGCTCCGTCCTGCCGAGTATCAGTGTCCTGAGAGAGAAAGACACCTTACTAGAGCATGAGCCCAGAACAGGAACAGACAGAAATCGCTTCCGTTCGGCCTCTGCCTCCCTTTTCTCTAGCAATGATTTCTGCCTGTTTCTTCTCAGGGCTCCATTTTTGCATCAAGCCCAGCCCTTCTCAAAATATTCCCCATTTCCGGCCTACAGCCATTCTCTAGACATCAAAGAGACAGAGAGGGACTGAAGTATGCACAGCATGAATAATGCCCTTCCTACAGTGATGTCACCGCCCTTGAAGGCTAAAGCCACTGCTGCTGCAATGAGAGAACATGGCTGTCGTGCTGTTTGTGCCTGGGGAAGGTGTTCGTTAGAGCTGAGACCAGCAGGGAAAGATGCCATTCCTGCACATATGGAGAGCTTGCTGTTGCTTAGCAGCAGAGAGTTCCCCGAGGTCTATTCAGAGAGGTGAACTAGGGTGGAAGCTGGACAATTTTTCCAGGAGAGCGGTAAAAATAGAACGCCCCACCCCAAAACCCCACTTAGTATTTGACTGTCAGGGTGGCAAGGTGCCCTTCTGCAAATCTCTGCCCTTTTGGTGGTGGCACAAAGCACACAGCTGGGACGTTAAATGCATTACTCTGCTGAATTGCAATTGTCAAGACCTGGACAGGACCCGTGGAAGTGTTGTAGGTTTGCCAATTAAGCTTAAATGATGCTGGCTCACTCCTTGGCAGAGAAAAGGCAAGAAAATCTCAGTAAATGTACCATGGTAGCTCTTCATGTGCCCTGAGACCAAACACCTGTTTAACACCACTGGCCTTTGAATCCAGCTTGAGTCACTCTGCTAGGAAGGGCAGTCATTTCCCAGACCAGTGAGTGGATGTGACTCCCCTAAGGCCTCTCTGGACTACAGTCCAAGCTAGCTTTCTAAATCTTAGCAGGAATGCTTGAACAAGTTCAGGTTTAAAAAACTGGCATAGTGTAACCCCTTTGGAAGGTATGGTCTTGCTTCATCCTTTGCATTCCTATCAGGAAGGGCATGATGAACTAATACCTTATCAAAGATGGCTATTTTTTTTTTGTTTCAGTACTGGTGATGCACAGTGATAGTGTATAGCACTGTATAAAGAGATGGTACTCATGCTCTCCTAATCTTCTTCCAGTGCCTGGTGTTTGTAGCCAACTCTACCTAGCTCTGTAGGCAGGTACATCTGAATCATTGCATATGTATGCAGCCACCTAAATCCTTGAAACAGCTGAGCAGTTTAGAGGGTTAAAGTGCTCTCAAAACCAGGCATCTTCTCTTTTCTCCCTGAATAACAGATGCAGGCTGATGTTGAGCTGTATAGAATCATAGAATCATAGAATCGTTAGGGTTGGAAAGGACCTTAAGATCATCTAGTTTCAAACCCCCTGCCGTGGGCATGGACACCTTACACTAAATCATATCACCCAAGGCCTCGTCCAACCTGGTCTTGAACACTGCCAGGGATGGAGCATTCACAACCTCCCTGGGCAACCTATTCCAGTGCCTCACCACCCTAACAGGAAAGAATTTCCTTCTTATATCCAACCTAAACTTCCCCTGTGTAAGTTTTAACCCGTTACCCCTTGTCCTGTCACTACAGTAAAAGACAGAACTGGATAAACAGTTCTGTGTAAGACAGAACTGGATAAACAAGTGCTTGGACTTTTTTGAAATGGGTTTTAACATTGAGGGACCTTAAGAGCTGAAAGACACAGACTGAATCCCTTCAAACGCCCGGAAGGAATCTGAACATGCATTTCTCATGTGTGAAAAAAAATTCCCTCATTCATCAGAGTAGCATGCTATGCTCATGCATGTCTGTGACTGTCCTGGGTTCAGCAGTAGCAGTCATTTTTCCCCTTCTTGGTAGCTGGTGCAGTGCAGTGTTTTGACTTTCAGCTCGGGAACAGAGCTGACAACAAGGATGTTTTGGTTTGGCCAAGGACTTTGTGAGCCTCATGCTCTGCCAGGGAGGAATTACTCTTAATTCCCATTGCTGCCCTGCTTTGTACAGGTTAACTTCACTAGGACAGAGAGAAAGCAAAATGTAAACACCCTGACAATCTAGTTAGGCATGGGAGTATTTGGCCTGGGTCTTGTTTTTGTTTCAAAAAAATATGTTATGGAAAATGGAGTTTCCATGCAAAGTGTGTGTTTAATAAAATTATCCCATATAATATCACTTTTATTTCTAACATACAAGGTAAATATTAAATCAGGACTAAATTTCAGTATTTATATTAGCTACTAGTATGTAAGGCATTAGGAAAAGAAAATCCCTTTAGCTTAAACCACGACATAGACTCCCCTGAACATTTCACATTAAGTCTATGTAAGTTATTGACAAACTTTTAGGAGGGAAGTCTATCTACCATGCAGTAGTTTTTGTTTTATTCCACATCAGAAATGAATGGCTTCATCTGAGGGTGCCCTTGCTATTTAGTATTGTCCCTTTGTATGTTTCTTAGACTCCATTCTCTCTCTTTCTGCAGACTTGTCCAGTTAATATATTCTCCTAATTTTGTCTTTGTGGAAATGAAGAAAGGTGTTGTTATCTTTATTATTGCAAACTTGTATGACACCTTTTCTTTTATTTGTTCTCATTGAAAATGTTAAGAACAGCTTATAAGAAAGGCAATATAGAACATGTATCTGTATTTTAATAACTTTGTATTCCACATTCTTCAACAGTCAGACTTCAGTGGGTGACCTAATGCACACACCAGCTCTTCTGGGGCCTGTTTTGCTTTTAGGTGTTAAATCAGATTGCTGGGCTTCATACCTGAGCTTCTGCTCCTTGCCCAAGGAGCGGTCATACATATTTGTGTGGTGAATTACAGGTACCAGTCTATTTTAGTGTTTCCTGCTCACTTCAATTATTAAATTGAGAGTTTCTAAACTGTTGAATGGAGCTAATTCATAGTGAATTAGGGAGCAATTCAAACAGAAAGGAGAAGCCATTTTTTACTATTTTCATTGACATGAAAGTGCACTTGTTACAAATCACTTTGAAGACTGATAGGCTTTTCTGGGAGCGAAGATATTTTCTGGTGTAAAATGAGTTTCCAGGGACTTTAGTTGTACTTCAATTTTCTTCAATATATCAGCAGTATTCTAGTGTTTGCTTCATCTTATTTTTTAATAAAAACTTAAAATGTAAAAAAAAAAAAATAAAAATTTAAAAGATGCATTTTAAATACCCATATGTTAAAGTGAATATAACACCAGTGATATTATGGGAAACAGCTTTGTTAACTTTTAAATGTTTGCATTCTTTGAACATCAGTTCCTTACAGGTGTAAGTAACTTCTCTTAATGAATCTATTGGCAATTGACTTCAAATAGAAGATGTAGGTTCAATGACGATGAGGGGCAAAATAAACCAGTCTTCTAACATGGAAAACCAACCACAGACCTGCATGGTTCCGCAGAGCATTAACTGACTTGTCGCACACACAGAGATGCCAGTTAGTACTTGATTTTTCATCAATGTTAATAGCAACATGTTAATTCACCAGTAGAATTTATTCTGTGTAAGCCCAAAGGTGAAAATCCCACTGGGAAGTTCCTCTCAATGCAATGCCATTCATACTGTCAAAATGTATCTGTTGGGCTGCATATATATACAGCACAGGGTTTCTCAGCCTTTTGCTGGAGGACTAAGGTCTTATTCTAAAACCTGTGATTGCATTATGTTAGGACTAATGCTTGAGAAGTTATCGTCATGGCTAGACTTGGCTTTGATCTCAGTGCAACCAGAATTGTTTGCTATTGATGGCTCTGCTTAGTACTTTTCTAATTATTTCAGCACTGTAAGGTTATTTTCTGGGGTGATGTACTTTATCAGGGTTGGCCAATCCCAGATGTATGTTCTGCCAAAACTCTCTGCTTCAGCATTTGTGTTAGTCAGCCTCTACTCTGAAGTCTTGGGAAGTCTGGAAATTAGCCTCCGCTGTCTCCACTCACAACCCTGTTTCTTTTCCACTCCTACATATCACATCCTTCTTACTTCTAAGGAAGAGGAAGCATAAAGAGAAATAATCTTTGAGATGGTATTAAATGTTAGAAATAGAAGATGTTTTCCTGTAGTA